TGATTGCTGGTTGTCCTTATAGAAATCATCTGCAACCACAAGTGTATCGAGAGATTAGAACAAATTATGTGCCTTTGTTTCACTTGGACTAGATTGAATCACTTTTCGATGGTAAGGGATTGAATTAAAATTTGTAGAAAGTAAGATAACAAAGGCTAGTTTGAGGCACCAATGGCCATAATTCACCCCCAAAATTAAAAAATTATAAAAGCAAATTTCTGTCTCATCCTAAAACAGGATTAAAACCATGACGATATTTAATGGGAATAATTTTTTGGATTAGGAGTTTGACTCTCTTGATCCCTCTCTCTCTCTCTTCTATAATACCTTTTTTTTTTTATGAATCTTTGATTCTTGGTAATCCAAAGGTTTAGAAAAAAAAAAATGAGTTTGATCAGGCTTTGGGTTGGCTGGATTGACATCTGGCTCTGGCTTTTGGTTCATCTGAAAGGATATTCTGAAATAATAATTAATCACCAACAAGTTGAATTCGTGCTGCTGCATAATGGTCCTAATAATTCTAGGTCAACATAGTTTAAGTATTTCTGCTGATCACTTGTCTGTTGTCTGCTTAAAAACGTAGTTGCAAAAGACAGCAAAAAAACACATAAATATGTGTAATTATTTTGATAATGATTTGGAGCTCAGTGAACGTGTTAACATCTGACTGATTTCATCTCTCGTTTTCCTCTAGTTTTAAGAACGTAGTTTTTGGAGGAAAAGAACTGAAAGAAAATTGGTGTTGATAACAACTTAATTGAACTTATTGATTCCCAATTTTGATTTTGCTTTCCTAAATTAGAAATTGTGTAAAAAAACATGTAAACAAAATCATTTTGGGGATGGGAATTTATAAAGCTTCGTGATTTGAGGGTAAAATCTAGAATATTGTTCTGATTGGTCTATGATTTAATTACCTGTGGATATATATATATATATATATATATAATTATATAATGTTCAGTAAGCATCTAGTGAAGTTCTATTGACCATCATCCAGGGGAGTTATTATTATTATTTAGTCAACTTATTTCCTCGATCTGCTTGAGAAAATGAATGAACATCGTATATAATTGGTATTTATTTACACAAGTGGTTACATTTTGATTCATGTCTGCAAAAACAAATACAAAAAATACTTTGATTGATTCCCAATTTTGACTTTTTTTTTGAGAAATAAAGAAAAATTTATTAATTTGCTAGAAATCGTTTAGCAAAGATGGATAAAAGTAAGATACAGTCATAAAAACACAACTTATAAATAGTCGCAATGTCATGTTTCGCTACATGGATAAATCTATCTTGATATACAAAATAATAGTTGTACCACGTGCTAGATTTTTAATCCGGTCAAGGATACAATAGTAACCTTCAGTTGAAACCCTCAAACTATAAAACTCGTAATAATTAGATCTACTGTGACTGAATCTTCTTGGACCATGCCTGTCAAACCGAAGAACACCTTCAATGAACTCGTTTTGCCGTATCTACATACATCACCGACGAAAACGCCGTCATACTAGCAAACATCAACAAAGATACTGCCGCCATACCTGCAAACATCGATAAAGATGTTGCTGCCATATTGTAGATAATAATTTACAAGTCGTTTATTGAAACTAAATTAAAACACAATAAAAAAGTTGAAGGATATTTGTAGAATTATTTCCCCTATCCTTTTATGGTGGAAAGATGGGGGAAGATTGATTTTTTTTTTTAAGGGTTTGAGGGAGAGGGAGGCGGACTGTAGAGATAACCGTAAAATCGATATATTTTGTTGAAACATAACCATAAAATCGATAAACAGGGAATCATTTGAGGACTGTAGAGATACAACATTTGTAATTGAATTAATAAAACTGTGAGTATACTGTTCTCATGTTTGTGATTGTTGAAGTAGGAATTTAGTAGTAGTGGAGGCTCATAACTTCCAAATTTCATATGTTTCTTTCAATAAAGAATATATTCTTTCTTTCCTTTTTTTTTTTTGTTCACCTTGATAAGTAAAAGAGCGTTGACTTTAGGTTACAGGAGTGATAAAAAAAAAAAAAAAGAAAAGAAAACAGCTTTGAATTTAACAGCAGTTCACTTGGTAAGAGAATCGGATGAAAGCTTAAAATGGAACATCGTAATTTTGAGATCTCGAATTTGAATCCTAACTATGTACTGCAATGTGCAAAGAAAATCCTTATCATGAGCTAATGATCCACAACTGAGAAAGTTGGAAATTTCGCATTCATGCTTATCAAAGTATTACACCATTGCTTTTGTAGTGTGTATGCTACCGATTCTCATGGGATTTTTAAAATGAGGTTGACAAATGGCTGAGGACAAAATTCTTTCTATTAAAAGAATAATAATAATAATAATAATAATAATAATAATAAGTGAATTCGAGACAACAATATTCATATTGGAATGAACAGACAATATCAAGATTCCATACATATTAATATATAAATGATTAGCCCACACTTCATTTCTATAAATGCATAATAAAGGAAAAGATGAAATGGGCAAATGAGTAGCCTAGTCTCTGGAATTGGATTCAATACTCAAATATGATCATTACCAAACAGGTCGATTTGATACCCGAATCTGGTTACCTTCTTAGTTGTATTACCTTTTACAGCGCCATCAATTAATCTCAAATTCAGAACTCAAAACATTGCACAAAAATTTACGATGGAATCTCTTTTGCACAACATGAAAACTAGCAACAACATTTTAATGCAAAAATTTAGGTGCATCTGGTGACGTGAACATATATACATTATAATCCGTTACTCCATATATGCACAATCCACTAACGTAAATCCGCCGACCTTACAAAGTTTTGGCACAATTCACTAGAGGCACACGCGCACAAACACGCACTCACACAGTAGTAGTAGTATGATTGAAATGCCATTGTTGGATTCATTGAAGTAAACTTCGAATGAAATTTTGGACACATTTGATTCCCTAGAGATTCCAAAAGATCTTTATTTTCTCTTTTTTCTCTTTGTATTTTCTCGCTTTTTCTTTTTTGAGGGAAGTTCCAAAAGATCTCTCGACCCAAAACGGAACACAAATTAAAGCAAGATATTTTCTTGTATGATTCAAGTTCCATGATCTTCACCATGTATTTGTAAGGAAAAATAGATATTCACTCTCTTCCAAAATGGTTGTCCTATTTAATTAATAGTTTTAAAATAATATACATGAACAAGATTATCATTAACTGAGATGGAAGAGGGGTATATGATTTTAATAAATTTTACATTTTAGCCCATCTATAAATTATTTTACGATGGAGTAAATATTTGAGAGTTGACTTAAAAATCGCTTCGACAGTTGAAGAATAATGAAGTCAGTAAAAAAAAAAAGGAACTCTTAACGGACTCATTCAATAATCTTCTATCCAAATGATTCAATTACTTTATATTTCTCCAAAAACGAAAAACTCGTATTTGATTTATGTGACAACTCGTATTTGTTGTATGTAAGTACTCGTTCTTGAATCACTAATATATATTTGTTCCTGCTTGATTGGGGTGAAAAAAAAACTGAAATAAAAGTTTAATTTGCAAGTGGTGTGTGTAGGTCAGCATAATTAATAAAAGAAAATATTCATGACTAAAATAGTACAATGAGTATAATCATCATTAACTGAAACAGAGAGAATACAAGAATTTGATAAGTTTACCGCTCAAAACCGTCTATGAATTTCGTCGATTAAGATGGAGCAAATTTTGGCTAGTTGACTTAAGATTCAATTATATACTTTTAAGAATGATGAAGTTAGTAGTTATAACATTACTTTTCAAAATCTTGCATACAAAAAACTATTAACTGACTCACTTATGACTCATTCAATCAATCTTCTATCCAAATGATGTAATTAGTTTACATTTCTCCAAAAATGAAAAAACTCGTATTTGATGTATGTAACTACTCGTATTTGTTGTGTGTAACTACTCGTATTTGAATCACTAAATATATATTTTTTCCTACTTGATTGGGGTGAAAAAAAAAGTTGAAAAAAAATTTAATCTGCAAGTGGTGTGTGCAGGTCAGCATAATTAATATCAAAGAAAATTCATGATTAATAATGTAATTTGCTCGTACTTATGAAGACAAGATTCTGTAGGGGAAGCTTTTACGCATGAGTTTTGCAAGTTGAGTTTTTGGTCCTCGGGAATAATTGGATGATCCCTACAAAAGGGCCCGTGAGTTTTGTACATTTTACTTGGATCTTAGTGAACCAATGGTAGTTTTTACCAATAAAACAAAAAGCTAATTTTGAAAACGATTGATTTTCCAAAAGCAAAACTTTATATATACATTTACATACTCTTGAAACTCTTATGATAAACAGCTCAGTCCCTTCCAACAGCCATGCAGAAGACAGCTTCATTTTGTTGATTATTGATTTTTGATTAAGATGATGCTTACTTGATTGGATACACGGAACAGAAAAATAATTGGAAGGGTCAATCAAGGGTCGAAAATTGCTTTTTGTTCCTTTTAAATGGGTCGTGTTCTAACAAGATTTAATCCATTAATCGGCAGTAATATTAATCATCCAATCTGAACAACTAATTATTTTATCAGCAGTCTCGTATATTATTTAAAGAGTAATGATAGAAATATTTAAACTACTCTGTGACAATGGTTATGGACGTTCAAATATACACAAATAACCATTTATGCCATATTCTTTAATCAGAGTTTTCTTTTTTCTTGCCGACTTTTTTTTGTGTTATTACATGACTTATTTATCATTCCATGGGATAAATAAGTAGTTTCTGCCATCTACCCATCTCGTTTTTTTTTTTTTTTGAATGAATAAATAAAACACTTGTCAATATATATAGATATATGGAATGCATTATGATGTGATTATCAGAATTTTCAATTTAATTTGATACAACGTACCAAGGAGATTTTCATTTAGGGGGTGGCAAAATGAAGTTAATTTAAGCAAGAAATGCCATAGTAGGGTCATCAGTCATCACCTTATAGCATAATTGAACCTTTAAATTCCCTACTCCACAGCTATAAAAGGGTTGCAATGTGCTTTGGAATTAAATGCAGATCCCAATTACATAACCATCTCTTCCCTTCTCTATCTTTTTGGCTACCTATCTAGCTACCACCCAACACACATTAATACCATCAATACTTCCCTCTTTGTTTTCTTCTTTTCCTTTTGGTACAATATCCACTTTAGTTTCTCTTTTTTTTCATAAAAGTAAAGAAAAACAATACAAACCAATCCAAAAAAAAAATGGCACTCCCACAAACATATGAAGAAGCTAAAACTGTCCCAGATGCCTGGGATTCCAAAGGCCGTCAAGCCCAACGATCCACCACCGGTGGCTGGGGCAGCGCCGCCATGATTCTAGGTATATCCTAAAAATAGAAACTATATATCCTCTCAGCATCATCTTTCCTTTTTACATTAACTCATATTAAAGTCTCAGTTTCCATTTTTAGCTCTTGCATTATTGTTATTCCTGCATCATCATGTGATGTGTTTTATCTAATTCTCTTTTCGTGTTGAAATTGAAATTGAAATTTTCACAAAAAAAGGGGTTGAGGCTTGTGAGAGGCTCACAACTCTTGGAATTGCGGTGAATCTGGTGACGTACGTGACCGGAACAATGCACTTGGGAAATGCTACCGCTGCTAACACCACCACTAATTTCCTCGGAACTTCCTTCATGTTGTGTTTGCTCGGTGGCTTCATTGCTGATACTTACCTTGGAAGGTTCATATACTAATCGAGTTTTTTTTTTTTTTCTTCTCCCGTCTGTTACACTAAAACGGTACAACAAAATAGACGATTTTGCTGATATCTCATGAAGTTATCTAATTTCTTACAGGTATCTCACCATTGCCATTTTCGCACTTATTCAAGCAACGGTATGTTCTTTTATCTTATGAGACTGTTTTTAATAAATTTGAGTGTAACAACTATAGTTTATATTATATATACTAGTTAAGTACTTTGTCGATTAGTCGCAAGCAACATACAAGTTGCTTAGAAAAATTCAAGAATTAATAACAAGTTGGATTAAACATAATTTCTTTTTTTTCTTAATTAATTTCATCTTATTTTGTATCAGGGAGTCACTATCTTAACACTCTCAACCATAATTCCGGGATTGAGGCCACCAAAATGTGCTCCGGGAAGCAGTTCATGCATCCCGGCGAACGAAAAACAACTCATGGTCCTCTACCTCGCACTCTACCTCACCGCCCTCGGCACCGGCGGCCTGAAATCGAGCGTTTCCGGCTTCGGATCCGACCAATTCGACGACAACGACCAGAAGGAAAGAACCCGGATGATCAAATTCTTCAGCTGGTTCTTCTTCTTCATAAGCGTGGGTTCACTTCTGGCCGTAACGGTTATGGTGTACATTCAAGAAAACGTTGGGAGAAGATGGGGATATGGGATTTGTGCATTTGCGATTGTGGTTTGTTGGCTTGTTTTCCTTTGTGGCACGAAGCGTTACAGGTTTAAGAAACTTGTCGGAAGCCCGTTAACTCAAATTGCTTCGGTTTTTGTGGCTGCTTGGAAGAAGCGGAATCTGGAATTGCCTTCAGATTCTTCACTCTTGTTTGATATTGATGATATTCCTGTTGATCAAGGATCTAAGAAGAAGATCAAGCAAAGGTTGCCCCACAGCAAAGAATACCGGTAAGTAATCATAATAATAATATTATTATTACACATTCATTCATTCATATACTGCCAAATTTCGTAGTTCGTAAGAATATTCCATCTCATCACAAAGTTACATTTTACTATTAAGTTTTTTTTTTTTTTTACAAAAAAAAAGCGTATCAAAATATAAATATCTTTACATGAATATGTATATAGTGATTTTGCACCATATTTATATGTTGATCATGTTTAAATGATAACATTTTTTACTACCTTTTTGGTGTGAAGAATATGAGATGAGTTAAAAGTTTCTAGTTAGAATCCATAGTATATACTTTGATCATTCCCAAGAAAGAATATACGGTGTGGGTAGTTTTGGTTTTCCTTATTATTTTCTACAGTTTTTATTCTCATATGGGTCTAAATATGGTGAATTGGTGGTAAAAAAAAAAATTAAAAAAAAAACAGTAAAAGTTTGAATTGAACTAAAAGGAAGTAAATAATTAGAACCCATGTAATGGGAGCTTAATTTAAGAAACTAACATTTATGTATATTACTAGTGTCGTTGATCAAATTATGGAGTAAGCTCTTACACCGTTTATTTGCCGCAAACATATTATTTCTGGGAGTATTTATTGAAATCTATGAAAATTTCAACTTAGTAATCCTAAACTCATTTTCAATTGTTAAATCACATACCAAAATAATTGAGTTGAAATTTTAAAACATTTCAACTGATCGACAGGAAATTTTTTTATTTTGCCAAAAAAGGATAAGATTCGTCATATGAGCTTGCAGCATATAATCGACCTCGATCGACACCTGATCGACCTGTTTCTTTGCCCTTTTCTTTCCCTTTTCCTTTTGAAAAAATTATTTTTTATTTTATAGCTGTTCATTAATTACTGCATGGTTTTGGCAATTTGCATTATTCCAAGATGTTTGGATGCATGAATCTCCAGAGTTTAAACCCACTGTTTTTCTAGCTAGGTTATACGTGGGGTAGGCTAGGTGTCTTTTGGGTTGATTCATAAGCCATTCTTGAATATACCCATTGATCCAATTAATTGATTCTAGGCAGTATTATCCAACTTGATCCCAATAAAATAGTAATAATTTCTATGAAAACACATCAAATACAAGGACCACAATTATATTTTAAAATAAAATCAAAGAAAATTAGTCAACCAACTTGCCTCGCCGACTTTAACCCTAAGTAGAAATGTTATTGTGTGTGTGTTGAATTAAAATTTCTTGCCGACCAATCAAATGTGTCATCGAATTTTGGCAATAAAAAAAAATGGACAAAAGGAAAGATCTAATCAAAGAAAGAAGAAGAAAAAGAAGAAGAAGTAGGCCAGCAATTGACCTCCACACGTTTTAGTTTCTGTTTCTGCTTTGATAGTTTTGGCCAAAAGGTTTTCAATGATTCATCAATCGAACTCTTTTCCACAACCTATGGATTGTCTTTTCTGTTTTGCCTCTTTTCTCTAACCTTCTAACTTAGGTTACCTTTTTATTACCTTCTTTTCACTCAAGAACACCAAAACTTTAAAATGATTAGTCGCCCTATATAGTTCTTTTGAACTTGATTAAAAGACTTCCCCAAGCTCTTCTTTTTCCGTTTGAGTTGATGTGTTAGGTATATTCTAACTTGGAAAACGAAACCATGAAATAATATAGTCAAATAAAGTTTGTTCATTCATCATTCATAAAGGTAGAAGAAGATAAGTTAAAGCTAAGGTCCACCAATTATGATTTAAGAAGAGGAAGAAAAACAAATCTACCACAACAAATAAAATCCAAATTTGTCAGACTGAATAGTTTCATTGAATAGTATCTAGTTTTCTAAAAAATTATTGCTTCTTGACCTATTATGAAGCTTGTTCTTCCTCCCTATTCCTTTTATACTCCTTTTATACTACACATAAAAACAAAAGTGGAGCTTTTGGGAAAAAGCAGTTTTGGTCCCTCTACTATGGTATATAGGCGTTTACCTTGGTCTCTCGCCTCATTTATGCAATCGCAAAATGATATTTATCATTTTATTTTTTATGTTCCAAGTTGTTCTTTAACATCATTTAACCAATCAATTAACAATAAATCAAAGAGAAAGAGATGCCAAAAATGCTTCTTTTTTTTTTCCAAGACTTAATTTTTTTTTTAGATAACAACTAGCTATGATTCTAATCCACAAGGAGAGGAAGATGAAGCCAAGATCACGAGCCATCTAATCTTGTCCATGCTCTTATAATACAAAAAGCAATATGGTGAACTAGTTGTAAGATGTCTTCTTCTCAAGTCGATGGCCCGTGTTGTTTTTCCTTGTACAAACCTATTCATGGAAAAACAACTAATCATATATATTCAGATCTCTGTTTTCTAGTCCACATGATTGAGCCCATAGAAACCATCTCTGTCTTCTCCATTTAATGTGATTGACTCATGAAAAGTATAGGATAAGGATTAGGGTTCACACAAATATATCTTCTTCTCATATGGTTTTCGTTTTTGTTAATGCTCAAAGCGGAGCTATATGCTTGTCATTAACCTAATTTTCATCAGGTTTACACCTTTAATCACTTTAGAGAAAAGTGACCAAAAACAGAACTACAAGGCAGTGTAGGAGTTTTTACCTTCCACGCACATATATTGGCTTCAATCAATTTCGAAAATTGTGGGTTTTTTTCTTCACTTTTTGTGCATATTAATTCACTAATTGATGAGGGGTACGCAGTTGACTAGTTGGTGACTATGTGGTCACATTTTATGTTGCGAAAAAGTAGATCCACATGACAAAATCAACCCAAATTTATTGTTGCGTTATTCCTTGATATTGAAATGATCTTCAATCTTTTTCAAGTTTCTCTTAGTTTCTACTGAAAGAAGAAAAAAAGAGAAGAAATGGATTTGATTTGTAAACAAGGATTCTCCACTAATTTTGTTTCCTTTTATTTTGTGGGACAGGTTCTTGGATAGGGCCTCAATCAAGGACCCAAATATGCCAACTGGTCTCAACGTGACCAACAAGTGGTACCTTTCAACTTTAACTGATGTTGAGGAAGTCAAACTCGTGATCCGGATGCTTCCCATTTGGGCCACTACCATCATGTTCTGGACTATCCATGCCCAGATGACCACCCTCTCCGTAGCCCAAGCCTCTCGGCTTCACCGGAAAATCAACTCCTTCGAGATTCCGGCTGCTGCGATGACCGGGTTCTTTGTGGGTAGCACCCTACTAGCCGTTGCATTCTACGACCAGGTCATGTTCCCCATATGCAAGAAACTATTCAAAAAGCCTCATGGGCTTAGCCCACTCCAAAGGATTGCGATTGGGCTCACCTTATCAATAATAGCAATGGCCGTGGCAGCCGGGGTGGAGATATGGCGCTTGCGAGTTTCACGCCTTCATGGCTTAACGTACAATGGCGTGGATCCAACCCCAATGAGCGTGTTTTGGTTAGTTCCACAGTTTGCGATCGTGGGCGCCGGCGAGGCGTTTATCTATGTCGGACAGCTCGATTTCTTCCTCAGGGAATGCCCGAAAGGCATGAAAACGATGAGCACGGGTTTGTTCCTGAGCACGCTTTCGTTAGGGTTTTTCTTCAGCTCGGTTTTGGTCACTATAGTGCATAAGGTGACGGGGCAGAAGAAGCCGTGGATAGCCGATAACCTAAACCAAGGGAAGCTAGACCACTTCTATTGGCTCTTGGCGATCTTGAGCGCATTGAACTTCTTGGCTTTCCTCATGTGTGCTAAAGGGTATGTTTACAAGGAGAAACGCCTTGCTGAGCAAGGGATCGAGTTGGAAGAATCCGCGGAACCCGCTTTCCATTAATAAAATATAGAAGTTATATAATATAAGCGGAAAAAAAAAAAGGAAGAGAAACTGTTTGTTTCGTGTTTCTCTTATTTTCTTTTTCTTTTTTTTTGTGCTTTTTTTTAACTGTAATTGTATAAATAGCTGATGTGCTTATGAATGTGAGGAAATGAATGGAAAAAGGTCTTCTTCCTTCATGCTTTACTACCCTTTCTTCTACTTTCTTCAATAGACAAACAAGGAAAAAAAAAAAAGGAATACCAGAATACTCCTCTGATCCTTATTATAAGGTATTTTTATTTCGTCCTAGGTTTAATCTAGAATGTCTTTTTAATTAGAAAAAAATAGTAAAAAAATATTTTCATATACGTTGTGTTCTCCTAATTATTATAAAATATTTTTAAAATTTTTATTTGAATTAAAAAGACATCTTAAATAAAATTTAGGACGAAATCAAAATGTCTTATAATAAGGACAGGAGGGAGCGAATACTACTAAAATCAAGTCCATGATGATTTAAACGGCCTATCAACCCAGGAAATAACAATTTCAAAGTGAGTTGATGGTTCAACCCCAAGGGACACAACCGGTTTGACAGTGACTTATTAAGATCATGGGACATAGGCCCAGCAAATCAAAATAGTGGTACTTTCTTTATCCCGCGCCAAAATACTAGTCAAATTTGTTATTCTAATAAAATACAATAATAATAATTATTTGGAAAGAATAAACATTTTGAGTTAAGGCAATGAATAACGCGATTCAATGGTCAAATTTCCAGACTTGCAATTTGCATCTCTCTTTTGGTTGGGAACTTCATTTCCATAGTTTTCTACTTTTCTAGTGAAACAAGGATTTGCCAACATAGGTCCACCACTACATTTAAAAACTTTTCTTCACATTTCCAAGTCTTAAACAAATCACGAGTAGTGATGAGTATAAATGAAGTGAATACCCATCATCCTTGTATGGTTGAAAAACTCGTAACCGAGTCAATGCTCTTTCGACCTTCATTCGATGTACTCCCCCGTCCCATAATTATTGTCCAATTGGAGTTTTCATTTTTAGTTCAAACTGTACTAAAAGTGAATTCTCAAATTGGATGATAATTTTGGGACAGAGGGAGTATCATTAACTCTACAAACTAATACTCTATACATAGACAACTAAAATAACAGAGATAGAGCATCAATTTGCCTTTAAAAACGCATCAGCATAGATGGAGTGTCATTTTCCCTTCAAATGTGCCTTTCAAACTCAAATTGCACTGATACTAGGACCATGGCCTCAATAAAAATAGAATGAAAATGGATGATACCCAATTATGTGGGCATTATTTAGACCTTTACAACAATAATAATCTGTGCAATTATGAAGATTACAAGGCTTTATACATTTTTATTGTTGCTAAAGAAGATACAATTTCGCTATCTAAGTTATGGAGGAGTGTGGGTGAATGTGATGGACTGATGACTACAGGTGCTGTCCAAATGAATGGAGGAATAGATTAGAGAAACTAACCAAAAAACTATGGCCTCATAAGAATATGCCAATGACGTACCCCCCACCCCAAAAAAAAAAAAGAAAAAAAAAAACATTAACTCTCTATATCCTTTAAAATTTCGCCAAAAAGGTTCGAGGTTCTAAGTAGTATTCTTTCAAGATCAACTTATGTCAAGCCCAGGATGAGAATGCTGCATACTGACTTGAGCAGAGGACAGCTAACTAGCTAGCCAGCCAACGAGCTTGTTTACAACAGCTTCAAACTAAACCCGAAACACTATTTCACATGTCTAGCTCTGATGCTGAGAACCGCATGATCTGTCAAACATATCAAAAATCTACTGTTCACATTCTTGTATTACTACAGGAACAAAACAATACGAATCAGGAAAGGTTTGTTTCTTAAAATAAGCTAAAGCTAATTAAAGTTATATCTAACGTAAAAATCATCTTGTAGAGCTAACTTTTGCCAATATGGACAATTATCCCACCACACCTTATCATATTTACAAAAATGATTCAATCCGGAAGCAAATGGAAAGTTATGGAGTCCTATTTCCGGTTATGCTTTTATTGCAACCATGCTACTTTGAGGTTATTTCTATTGAAACCATGTTTTAGAATGAATATTTTACATCAAGCTCATTTATAGAAGACTGATGACCAAGTAAAAAACAACTGTTTGATGAAAGCAACAGATAAACAAATAAAATTAACCAGATTCAAACGTTGTGACCTAAAAGGTGGTGGTAATGGATGAAGTTATGCACCTTGGACACAGTCAGGAGTTTTCAAATGAATTGATCAGGTCTTGATTTATTTCACCAAAAATACTGGGGCATCCATCCCAGTTTCCGAGTTCTCTAGCTTCCCAATATCCACCAGAATACCGAAATGTTCCTTCTTCACCATCTCTCTTGAACCATTTCGGTTGCCAACCATGTTCTTGTATTTTCCTTGACTGCAAGCAATCAGAAGCTGTTTCAGAAGTAGCTCATAATACAAATACTGTAACAGAGGTACTATTTTAGTTTGGACATATCAGGTAAAATTGTAGTCTTCGGAAGGGAAAGAAATGGAATAAATATCTAGGTGGAGAAAAACCAAAGGACCAATACGGGGTAAACACTATTCTAGCTGTTCCCTCTCCATTTACTCCCACAGCAGATCAGATTTCACACTACGACATGTTGACAGACTAACTTTTTTTCTTTGTTGACACTGCATAAGTGTTACTGAGAATGTAAACAATATCTGGCCTGATGTGCTTGCAAAATAGATGGTACCTGAGGGAAGAATGACATATCTTTCCCAAATAACAGTCACAGTCAATCAGTTAAAAGGAACAGCAGATAATTAACAATTTCAACAGCCCAAGTAAAGCAAAGAAGAGAGTAGTGTCATACCATTCTCTGCCTTGTTTCCAAGCGTAGTTTCTCTTCATTAGCTTTGTCATACTCCCCATTTTCCAAAAACCGCTGGTCCGGTCTCAATCTTGAATCCGTTGGTGGTAGCTTCTCCTTCATCCGTCATCAAATACCGGGATCAGACATAGCTATAAAATAGCAATTAGATATACATAAGAGAAAATGTAAATGGCATATGTCCAATTTGTATAGCCATTTGCTGTACCTTCAATCCCGGTGTCAGCTCGTTCAATGTAATAGCAAAAGAAGTTAGGTTATAGCGAGTAGGATTTGTCGGAGGCAAATTCCTCTTCCACAATAAAGTTGCATCACATGTATCTTTGGGCTTGTTCCCTTCTCCATTCACAAAGTACATACCCTCATTCCACTTTCCAAACAAAGTAGCAACCTTTTTACCCTTGTTATCTTCCACAAATCCGTTTACCTGTCCAATAGCATAATCTTAAATCCAAAAAATTCATAATTTCAAATTATTAAATACAACCAAAGCACAAATAGGTAATTGATGGTGAAGTAATTATCTCCTTTTTACCTGGTGAGGATTGCGTTCAAGAATAGAGTGATCTTTAAACTTCAGTTGGCATGAGTACTGGCGATTACCACGTATGTGCATTGTTCCATGGTGGTCACAATATATTTTACCAAGGATAAGATTATAAATACTTGTCGAAACCTAACAGCAACATAAGATTTACGGGAAAAATTAGTATCCTCAAAACAGAAAACATAACCTCAAAAGATCCAGCCATCTATAAGCACAAAACTGAGGCTTACACACCTTGCTCCACCGGAAAGTCTCCCCATCATCAAATTCTAACGTAATAGTTCCCACGGGATCAAGCTGAATAGATCTCCCCCAAAATTTTGACTTCAGGTTGGTATCACCCCAGAGTTTCCATCCTCGGCCTTCACAGTGACAGGCAATGAGTGTTGGGTGGTGACTAACCTGATTTAATAGATGATATATAGATATAAATACATATAAAATGCAGAATGGATCAAGCCATACCAAAAACAATGAATAAGCAAATGAATCAAAGAGTACACAGAAATAAGCTCTTTCAAACCAAAATCTACATAATGTCCAGACTTGTAACTATACCAGGCATAAGTCAGCCGAGTCGAACCCACCAGAATATATAATTAAACACAATTAAAATTTCAACTGGGATTTGACTTGTGTACCTTTTCGGAGAAGAAACGAACTCCTAATTCCGGATAGTCAGCTTCATAGGTCTCACCCAACAAAGGATTGAAAGGTTTACAATTGCGGCCCTCAGTTGAAGAATATCCAGAAACAGCGAATGCAGCGACATTCAAAATTCTTAAGAGACTATTCCCCTGTTAAATAATAATTTATCACTTTAATATTTTATCATCTGGGAAGAAAATAATAGCTCCAACAGAAATAAAACTAACTGCTGATAAAAGCAGTAAGTGCAATTATTGGAGATGAGTAGAGATTTAAAGCAATCATACCTTTTGGCCATGCTGATATGCCTGATCTAACAGATAGGAATACTCCAGGTCTTCGAAACATTTTTGCAAAGTGGAAATTGGTTCATTGAAGTACACAGGAAGACACACACGTTGAAGATCTTTTCCAACATTGTCTTTTATCATAGACCAGAGACTAACCCCTTTTTCTTTCTCAATTGGATCTGGAAGCTTTTTACGCCTTTCAATCTTCTCAGTAGCCTCACTGCCATGAATATGATTTTCCAATTCCACACTTCGATCCATGCTCTTTTCTCTTATTGGTCCAGAACCATCAGTTGCTTCAGAAAAGTACTCATTTGTATCAAAGAAGTTTATTTCCTCCTCATCTGAAACTTCCTCAAGCTCTTGTTTCTCAACATCATCTGATGACTCGGTAGTGCTCCACTCTGACCAACATTAACCAGCACAACAGTATAAAAGATACAGTTATACACCAATGCTTGTTTTGCAGATAACAGCAGTTGATCAAGTATTGCCAAGAAGTGCAGAGTTCAACTAGTAAGTTACAAATACATGTCTCCAATTTGTGTTGAAGACATCTGGAAAGGATGCTACATATCAACATTCAACTTAATTTGTCTGAACTATAAATTTCAGCTATGTTGCTCAGGTTTAAGGGCTAACTATTCCAAGCAACGATATTTTATAATCAAAGGGTTTAAATATATACTGGGTTAAAGTTTAAATTTTCAATACTTCGGAGGTAGAGAACCACATGTGAGTGTATGGTCCATTAGAATGATAAAGCATCAAATTTGAATTACCACTGTACTTTCCACGCCCTAAATTTGAGTATTCACCGCAATGAACCCCTGGGGCTTCAGTTTCGACATTAGCTGCCTACAAAACACACCATGCAAAACACAATGAACAGGAGGCATATCAAAGAAGAATTCGCCATTATATGCTAAAATAATTCAAAATGATGCATAAGCCGTAATTTATTAGCATGAAAGCCACGTAAAAAAAAAACCAAGGAAATGACGGAACTTGCACGAGACAATATGAAACAACAATCTGTTCATTTTCAATGACAGATTGACAATAGTAGTTGGTGATGCACAAGAATTTAATGCAAGGAACAGAAAAAAAAAATTAAAACATAGCAGTCAACTAAATTATTAACTTGAACATCACAATTATCAATGTAGTCGTTTCAACAGGAGAGGAAATCAAGGGTATAAATCTTCACTTAAAAGATGTCTCTCATCTGAAATCATCCTTTCCCTAATGGACTTTTACCTGAAGCCGCACCTAATTCAACGGAAGTCTTTGCAGAATTATTTTCGGAAAAGTCCAGTGAAACTGTGTGAACTTCTTTTTCGATAAACACAAAAAGGAGGAGGTAGCATGAAATAACCCAAATTGAAAATAAGTGCGAATAATAAGTGTGAATGTCTCTTTGAACAGTTCCAAACATGGGAGGTCTGCTCTCCATACAACAACTAAATATTTGGGGTCAGATATATTGATCACATTTCACTAGTCTTTGCTCCAAACAGAAATTCTTATTCATGTTTAAATATGTTGAGTTTCCTTCATCAGTACATTTCAATTCTAAGGCTTCCTGTTCCACCTCCAATCTACTACATTAATGATTTCTGTTTAATCGGCTTACCAAAAGAAATCGTCTATACGCATGTTCAAACCCCTTAGATGCATAAGCGCCATCTCCTTATCGATTGAAACTACCCGGAATCTTGAAATCCAGGAATCCATATAATTCAGGATCTCAGGAATCCAGAAATCCTGTCCTTACAACCTCATTTCTTGTTTATATCTGAACTGCACATCCATCTCGATGCTTTCATCTCAACTTTCATTTTTTGCTCATTGTCTACTTTGTGGCCCAATAAACTACTATGCCAAGTATTACTTGTCCTATAACTGTCTATAAACTTTTCCTTTCAATTTCAGCACTAATGACGATCACAATGCATAGAAGATGAACATTTACTCCAACCTTCCTGAATGGAACTCCATGTCTATCATCTTTATCCATATCCAAATTCCTGATAAAACTGCTGGATGCATTTAGGTCTACTTATAAGTAAAAGGAAGAAAAAGAAGAGCTCCCAGAAAAGCATGAGGCAGGCACACTTTACAGTAAATTCAGAGAACTTAAAGAGACCCCTCCTACCATAACTAGATGAGTAGTGAAATGCGCAAATCCAGGGTTTTTCAAAATATGAATACAAGAATCATAATTTCATAAGTGGTGGAAGGGGAATTTTTTCCATAAAAGTCTAATGCAGACTGGAGAACGGATGTTACCTCAACTTGTCTCAACGTGTCCAGCAGGTTGGACCGTTCCTCCCAGAGAAACTTCAGTTGTCCTTGAACATCAGAAAATTCTGAAAGCACTATCTGCTCACAATCATTTACAAGTTTATCACTAATACCTTCATCACGCAAACGCTTCTTTAGCCTCTCAGTTGATATAGATACATCTGGTAAAGGGGAGAGTAGGGTATCATTTAAAGGTCTCAAGGAAAAAAGATTTCGGGTAGAACTCAAAGCTTCAATCCAGGCTGCTCTTTCTTTCTTTAAGTTAGTCCTTAAATGAAGAGTCTTTGTAGCTGTAAATATGTAAAAACGCTTATCATCTGACTTGCTCTCGCGAAATGATGAGATCTGCAAGAAAAGGAAGTTAAAACATTAAGACTCAATTAAGTAACTGCACAGGTGCACTTTACCACTCATGTCAATTTCAACAATTATATCAAACCAAAGTAGGGATAACTATCTGTCTGATCCACTAAGCTAAGAGTAATAACAAATCCAGTGGCTAAAATACTAACAACCAGCAACAAAATGCATCATCAAGATAACAGAAGCAAAGAGCAACAGTCATAGAAACCTCCTGGATAAAACAACAAAATGCATATCCCAAAAGAATAGAAATTTAAGCTTTACATAGATTTTATGACTTCAAGCCTCCCCGGGCGTTCAACCAAAATCCAATACAGACCTAGAGTCCATTTACCCAGAGTTAACCAAAATGGGTGTTACAGTAAAAGAAGGGGTAAACTCTAGGGAATGTTGATTAAAATTAGGACACACCAAGAACAGCACCTAAAATAGGTGAAACAAGAATATCCAATCCCACCACAGTACTATGTGGATTTTCTTTTCATTTCACACCCCACTAAACCTTAAAAAACAAACATTTTGTCTACTGTTTTTTCATCTTCCACTAGAATTTTAGCGGAGCCGTTGAAGATCCATCACCTTTACATTTCCAAAGCTTGACCTTGTAAAAGAAAACACACAAATATCTACAGATCAGCAAGACATACAAGACAATCACCTTGGGACATTTGTTACCAAAACTCAGAACTGGGCACAAAATAGAACCACAAGTTCCTGTCATTCTCCATTGCCCAAACCAGAAATGAAGAAATGGGTCTACTTAATATTTATCCACAAGCCCCACAAAATAATAACTAAAATACAATATATATACTATTTCTATAACTTATAACATCAAACCAAAAAAAAAAAAAAAAGAATAACACTGATGTGACCCATCAGTGAAACTCCCATAGATAAAACACAAAAGGCTAAAACCTTAACCAAAGCTCAACATAAAACAACTTATACCCTTCAATATGGCTATTTCACAATCACCTGCTGATGTGACCCACTCCAGGTTCCACACCCAGTTGAAAATATTTTTACTGCCAACTAGAAAATGTCATCACTAAAAATTCTGTTAAAGATTGTTGAATCACATTAAGCACCACACACCCGAATAATGAATATCCATTGGTTGAAAGGGGTGAAATGGGGCTCAGATATCAAAAACAAAACAAGTCCTTTTGGACATTTTGTATGATAGTCAAAAAAACAGGAAAAACCCAAATCTTTTTCCCCACTTTTTTAAACAAGAAATGGCAACATGACCTATGAAATTCCACCTGAAATTATTTCCCACAACTGGAAAAATTGTGTAACATTGAGGTAATTAGAAAAAAAAAAGTACACGCAGTCACGCACAAACACACACACTTCCTCGGTCATTCTTAGTTCATCAGATACTATCCGCATCATCAACCACGAAGACACTAAAACAGCCAGCAAATGCCCCCAATAGGACAAGCCTTCACTTTGCTTTAGCCGATTGGAAAACCCTGACAAAATATCTCCACCACCACAGCCTATCATTGCCCCACATTGAGAACAGTCAATTCCAGTTCACCGACTCTCTCTCTCTCTCTCTCTCACGCACTCACACACACACAGCACCTTTTAATTTTTAGTATAATTACTACCTTGAGATGAACAATGCCGGTGGGTTTTCTTCCATGCTTTCGCCGGCCACCGCCGGCTGCGGCGGCGGCGGAGGAGGGGTGTAGGATGTTGACGTCCCCGATCAACCTGACATCGTCACCGGCGGCGGCGACGAGATTCTCCGGCCGGGCCCTGCTCTTGGAGTAGGAAATCACCCCATTCTGGAGGGTGAACCACCGGGATCTCCAACCCTTGTGGTAATTAGTCCACTTGTAAAGACGGCCGGCAACACCGACGGCGGCGGCGGAGTCGGATCCTCCGGCAATGTGATTGGCGTCAGATCCATAAACAACCGCTGACCCGGTCCTCAAAAGGGTCGGCTCCATTGACAACGTCTCCTCATCGATCGCCGCCGATGGCCTGTTCCCCTCCAACGAAATGCAACAGAGCGGATACATTTCCTTGATCACCCGCATTTCCAAATCTTCCCTTTCTTCCTCTTCGTCCTCAAAATTAATGATTTGGGATTCTCCTTTTCACATGATTGATTATTCAATTCAGAAAATAAATACTCACCCGACAATCGGTTTCGCCGGAATTCTTTCCGGGCATGATTCAAACAAACGGAAGATGGAAAATACCCAATAGAATCAGAAGCGGGTTGAGGAGGAATGCATGGATGGAGGTAAGGGGGAAAAAAAAGGAGCGATGAAAGTGGAGAAGGGAAGAGGGAGGAAGTTTTTTCTTTTTCTCTAATTTGGTTTGTATTAATGGAGGGCTGTGGGTGGGAGGGAGAGGTAATAATATTATTAGCTTATTAATATGATGGTGGTGGTTAGTGTGTGTCTATGTGTACAAAAAAACAACTGAATTTGCCAAAATGTGAGAAACTCTGTGTGTGTGTGTGTGTGTGTGAGAGAGAGAGAGAGAAATGATTTACTAAAATCTATGATGAGAGATTTTTTATTACGCAACTGCTTTGGTTTAATGAGAGTTTTTCTTTTTCTTTTCTTTTCTTTTTTAATGGAAATTCTGTCATAGATTTTTTAATAATGACAGCAGCCCACAGATAAATTTTTGTTGTTACAATTTTGTTACGGACTCCACATGAGGTAAATTAAGTGAACATTTAATTAAAGATTAAAAAAAGCAACCTCCGAGTAATAATGACTTCACGAAAATCATATTTCTACCCCCATGAAATGATGATTGTACTTCATTCATGTATAATTTTTTTAAAATTTTTTTTGTAATATTTATGTGTAGCGAAAGCATGGTTTGTAATTGTCGAAATCCCAAAAGCAATACATCAATAATTTTCAATGTTATCTCGAGAGTGCAAGTTTGTATTCTCACTAATGAATTAGACTTTAAAAGTAATTACATATAACATTGGTTTAATTCTTGCCACTTAGAAATATATATACTCCCTTTGTTTAGAATTATTTTTGCAGTTTTGGATTTTCACTTTTAGTTTAATTTGTACTAAAAATAGAAATTCAAACTGAATCATAATTTCGAGATGGAAGACTATAATCTTCACATCCCGTTATTATTTGTTAATGTTGCTTTAACCGATTAATTAGTGGTTACATTATCTCGCGCTTGGCCAATAATGATACATATATAAATGGTGCTCTTATTGATGCCAGTTATAAAAACAATTAATTTTTTTTTTTTGGCCTCTTTTTCTTTCATTTTTTGGGTATACTATTCTGGTTGGACCTAGAATGAAAAGTAGGAATATGTATTGGTCGATCAGTTGGTTTTTATATAATTTCTTAAAAATAAAGTAGGTTTTTAAAAGAAATTTGTATTATTTCTAGATATATTTTTCAAATCAGGAATGGGAGGAATATCCTGTTAGATTTAGAGCATTCCAGCTGTGGAGTTGTTTGTCTAATTTGTCTAGTTTTGCATTAGGTAGCTTAGCTGCTTGGGATGACATTAATTCGCCAATGACATTTATTGTTTAACGAATAGTATATGTCTTAAAATAGATGTTGAAATCATAATTACCCATAATCACATTGTTAGGCTTCTTTATTGTTGTAATTATCACTAGATATAATGAAAAAGTCGTTTATTTTCTACCTATATGTGTGTCTATCCAGTGTGCTGGAGGAATTCGATGAAATTAAAACGACATAGAGTTATAGACTACAAAGAAGATTGGTGTGTGTAATAATACGAACGAATCTTTATTATCTCGATTATTGTTGAGTAAATTTTTTTAAATCATGGAACAATATAATTATTGCTTGAAATACACAAGTTTTATGTGTAAATCTGCCAACGTAAGATGGCTTTTTTGGGTCAATTTTTTTCATTTTTCCCCCACCTTAGAATGGTCCATATTCGAATTTCAGATCATTGCACAATTTTCTTCATGTCCAAAGGAAACCACAAGAGGAAGAAAATTTTAAGACTTGACTTGGTGAATTAATGCCACTAAATATTACTACAAACAAAGTTGTCAAGCTTCTTTGAAATCTTCATCATTCATTTCATAGCTTGCCTAGCCCTTCAAATACTTCATTAGATTGCCTGAAAAATAAAAGTCAAAACTTTCCAACCATCTGAATTCTGATAGTATATATTTTCTTCGCTTATTTGAAAAGTTATTGTTTTCTACTTTTCGCGAAACTTGCGCTTTGGAATAAGGAAAGAGGATGTCAATGCCTCTTTTCTTCAATCAATGAAATTCAAACTCTTTAACTCAATAATTTTAGGACGGATGGAGTATCCTTTTCCTCTGTCTTAAAAGCGATAATAAAATGAATTTTTAGTTCCGCTCTTCGTAGTTGAACTCGTTTTCCATTCGTGGAACTAGAATAATTTGTAGACTACAAAGACATTCCATGGTTCTAAACTGCCAAATAAGACCATCTATTAATTGTAAGAAAAGCATCCACATTAATTGAAGGAAAAAAAAAAAAAACAAAGGCAAAAGATATTATTAAAACTAACTGTTTGAAAAGTATATATGATCTTCTCACCACACTGCCTTTCTGTTTTGACTTTGACAGGTTCAAAAACTAATCTTGTGTTATGATAATTTGTCAACAAATGGACACACGAATATGGACCCTCGAACGAATTATTCGTTAAGCCTCTTGAATTAGAGTAGTAATTATAAACAATATTATCTACCAGCGGTCATCCCTAATGGAACAAAAGTTCAAGAGATTCCCAAGTTTATCTTTTGCAGATTTAACGCAACCAGTACAAGTAACCAGTACAAGTAAAATCATTAGGTTAATTCTTAAGGTGGGTTATTATGGTTGTGCAATGATACATATAGTAATAATTTATAGCGATTAATAAAAAGATTAAAAAGAAATAATCACATCACTCTCTCAATAACTACCGACATAATAAGGATAATATATTTATACATACGCCACATCAGTCATTCTTCTATTTCATTATACATTTTCACTATATATACATTTCAAAGAGAAATTTGAATTTCACTTTGGCTATAAAATGTAAATTGTTCGTATATATTTCCTCCGTCCCAAAATTATTATCTAGTTTGAGTTTTCACTTTTAGTTCAACTTGTACTAAAAATGAAACTCAAAACTGGATAATAATTTTTGGGTTATAGATTAATTAAAGTGTATAAATTAGTTAACGTGGATGGTTATAGATTTTTGAGTCATTTATTGTAATTCTCTTGTTCGGAACAACAATCATCACTCACACCAAAGCTCTAATACGATAGACTAAGGGCTACTGTTTAGGAACCTTTTGTTTCTAGAATTGATGAGTAAAGTGACCAATATAATTTGCTCATAGGCTTATAGCCCCACATTCAGACTTAAAAGATTGGAGAGGGAATATAATCATATATGGCCACATTATCATTTCTCCAAAGATTTGGGGGGAGGGGGTATGGAACTTACCTCGGTTTTACAGAGTTAAAAGAGGAAAGAGATAGTCAAAACTCTCACGTAGTAGTTAGTACTAGAGCTATTTATACAAAAAAAGGTACAATTAGCTTGGTAGTAGTAGAATCATTGAATTTTACTAGTCAATCTCCTTATTGTGGTACTACAAATTGAAGAAAAGAATATACAAAATGTACGTCTCAAGTTAGATTTTCTTTCCCCTTTTCCTTTATCCTTTCTAATCATTTAGATTTAATCTAAAAGTGATTAAAAGCTTAGCATACTCTTATGCCTATTACATGGAGATTTGAGTGCCTATTGTAAGGGTGTAAACATTTGATGTTATGCTTCACATATACAATCAAACTCTCTCTCATGTTGGGTCAAATAAAGATACATGTTTGTGAAATGTACGTATCAGTATTCCTTTACAATTATTAGATTATTCTTTTATACTTTAAATATCAACAGCGGAGTTGGAAATTAAATAAAGTGGGGTGATACTTTATAAAATGATTTTAGCAGAGGCAAAAATAAAAAAATATAAAATCTATAACTAAATTTTATTTTTTTCCTATAATTTCCTTATACCAAATTGAAGGGAGGGGGCGATTGCCCCTACTGGTCCCCCTCCCCCGCCACTGTTACCTATTCCATTGAAGATCGCGTCAAGTAAATTTAAAACAAATTCATTTAAATGTTTCAAAATTTACCCAACATAGTATTTAAAGGTGAAAAAGAAGAAAAAATAACTTAATGGATTATCTCTATGATTGTACATGGATACAAGATTTCTAACATTGCTTATTTACCTTTATACCATATATATTTTTTTGTTTGAAAAAAAAAAGGAGGTACACCATTCATAAGGATAAATGCAAAATGATGAGCACCAAACTCGGTTACAAGACAAAATAAGAAGAATTTCAATAATGTAAAAGTGAGCATAAATAAGAAATGCAACAAAGAGTGGATCAGATTCGTGTGGGAAATTAATTGCAACTTCAAAAAGGAATAATAAATAGGTGGAAGTGGAACAAAACTTTCACTACAAGAACAGCAACCCAAAAAAATAAAACAAACACACACAGTACAATAGTAGTACACAATCACATGAACATGTACAATTTGGTCTATTCCTAGCTAGATGCCTAGTTAGTCTCCAAACTACATATGTATATTTCCATATGAAAAGTTACCATCTCAAAACTTGGGTTTAAATATTTGTCTACCCCTTTTTTTGGGTTTTATTTGTTTTTTTCTTATTAATTGTTCGTGAAAATGATCTTCACATGTTCTTGTCAACCAAATTCATGCATTTGCTGCAAATAAATTAAGATTAATGAGAAAAGTCGGCAATGGTAGGATTAAGTTCCCAAAAAGGAAAAGGAAAAAAAGAGTCTCACAGCCTAACATCAAACGAAATGCAAGAGGGAAATGGGACGTAATAAAATGGTATAACTTGTAGTGAGTTTCTAAGAGGTCCAGATATCTTATACAAAAAAAAAAAATAAAAAAAATCAATTAACATAATTGATAAATTTTTTAGTTCAAAACCGTAAATATTTACGATTTAAGTGTTCGATAATTGAGAAAAAAATATTTTCTTCTTAACAAAAATAAAAAATAAAAAAAATTAGGAAGTATTGTCCTGTGATACATCCATGAACATACTTTGTAAACAAGTTCTACATTCTTTTAAGATGCTTCATCATATTCAAAACCATGGATTTGTTTATTTTAAAATGAAAATTATAAAAATGAGAATACAATATAACTGATTAGGAACAAATTTTCACCTACATAATCAGAACATTTAGAATTTCAGTGAAAAATTACAAGTTTCGATTCCAACTGGCTGAGAATATGCTCCCGATCCCTCCTATTCCCCTCATAATTAAATGGATTAAAGGGGAAAAAAAACTATTAATCATGGATATTATAAAACATTCACGTTAACTACTTTATCTCATCATATTCAATTCAATAATTGATAATTAAAATTTTATGTACTACGTACTATGTTCCCTCTTTAGGGAACCAATTCCCAAAACACAAAGAAATAAAAGAAAGAATGTG